ATATGCACATAATGTATCAAATGATATGTATCTCTCTCATAGAGAATCCTAAAAGGGTTGTCTGTGATGTTGAATTATACTAAGCGTTGTACCAATACTCGACCCAAGCAATCTACTTTTCCTAACTCTTTGGTGTATCTGATACAAAACATCGCAAATAGGTCTCCACGCTTATGTTAACCACCTCCATCTGGCCATCTGCCTGGGGATGGTATGATGTACACTTCTTCAGAACTATCCCTTATAAACAGAACAACTCCTTCTATAAATGACTAAGGAACACACTGCCTTTATCTGACACAATGGATTATAAAAATTCATGTAAGAGAACCACCTCTAGTATAAAAGCAGTAGCCACAAAGACTGCGATGCAAAAGTGCTTCGAAGAGATTAAGTGTGCATGCTTGCTCAGCGACAACCCACTCCTACTAGTTTCAAGAAAATCCCTCAATGACGCGACACCCTCAATGAAATTCATCGTCACCTCCTCCCACACCCTCTCAGACAGAGTTAAAGGTTGTTAATCTTCTTGGGGTCATGGCCCCAATACATGGCACACATCAATCTCGCCACCTAGTCCTCTACATCTCCTTAACTCCTGAGTTTCCTCCAACTGTGCTGCCATGAAACTCCTACAATTGGGAATGTAACCCAATGTCCTCGACAAAACGAATCGCCCCTGATGTAGTAGTTGGGGCCCCTCGACGTGTAACCAGGGTAACTATTTGGGTCCTGCAATAACTCGACTCTAATCTTCCTCAGACCTCATCTTGTTTGCTCTCTTGTCTCAGGGCTTCCCAGTTTAGGACCATAAGTATTGATAGTGTTGTTAATTGTGGTTCGTCTGTCTTCCTTGATAGTGCATTGTAGCCTTGTTCTCACAATCATTGCGGCAGTTACTGGATCTCAAAATAATATCCATAGTAACTTGGTAACCACCTCTTGATGCTCCTTCAGTCACCACATCCTCTGCTCCAACAGAAACTTCAAACTCCTTTGATTTATCCTGACAATAAAGTCTCGTCACTTTTAGATGGCTAAGACAATCGCCATCAGCTCCAGCTCATATACAGACTTGAGTCTCGCCCTGGTCGTGAGCACCTGGCTGAAATAAGGAATGGGTCGATGATCCTACAAAAGTACTGCCCCTAGTTCATATCTTGATGCATCCGTCTTCAGCACAAATGATTTTCTAAAGTCAAGAAGTGATAATACTGGCACGTTGGCCGTGACTTTCTTCAGCTGCTTGAAGGCCTATGTTGCTACTTCCCCCCAATCAAAATTGTTCTTCTTTAGCTGCGCAATCAGTGGTCATGCTATCGTGCTATACTCTCGCACAAACTTTCAGTAGTATCCGGTGAGACCTAAGAACCTTTTCAACTCATTCAAGTTCTTAGGTAAAGGTTAATCTAACATAACCTCAATCTTGAACTAGTTTGTTGCTACCCCTGCTTTGCTCACAAAATGACGTAGGTACTCCACTTGTGGTTGTGCAAATGAACATTTGTTTAGGTTGGTATATAGATGGTGCTCCCTCAAAGTCTCCAGTACAGTCCTCATGTGACCCACATGTTCTGCCTCCGTACAACTGCAGATCAGGATGTCGTCAAAGAATACCAAGACAAACTTCCTGAGGTAAGATTGAAAAATCTGATTCATGAGGGACTGAAAAGTGGCTGGAGCATTGGTAAGGCCAAAAGGCAATACAAAAAACTCGCAATGACTCTCGTAAGTCCTGAAAGCTATCTTGTGCACATCCCATCCCCTGACTTCATTCTAATATGGTAGTACCCCCACTTTAGGTCAATCTTCGAGAAGAGAATCGCCCCAAATAGTTCATCCAACAGCTCATCAATCACAAGGATAAGAAATTTGTTTAGCACAGTTTCCTTGTTTAGGGACCTATAGTCCACGCAAAACCTCCAACTGTCGTCATTATTTTTCACTGGTAAAATTGGGCTGAAATATGAGCTCACACTGGGCATGATAATTTGTGCTCAAGCATCTCTCTAATAAGCCTCTCTATCTCATCATTATGAATCTGTGGGAATTAGTACAATCCGACACTGATAAGAGAAGCATCCTCCTTCAAGGTAATGGCATGCTCGTGCTCCTTGGGTGGCGGTAATCTGCTAAGCTGATGAAAACCCTCAGGAAACTACTGCAGAAGCTGATGTACACACTCAAGGACCTCAATCAGCTTCGAATCTCGAACCTTGTCTAGGCTATACAACTCCACCAAGTAGCCTAGTCCTGCTCCCTATATCGCCTTGACCATGGTTTTGAGTGAAACCATAGTTCTACACAGGCTGCCATCTCTCCAAAATCTAGCTTTGATACAAATTTGATGCTACTTGGAAGCAAAAACAACAAATTAGATAAGAATAAATTGTAGGAACACAAGTATGGGGCTGATTTTTATTACTCCTCGAATAATAACGAAAGATATAATTGATCTACTATTCGAGAGGTAGATCTACTCTCTCACAAATCCTAGCCGTCACTAAGAACAACTTCAAAAAGAACAACAGTAAACACAATCTCATAAGAAAGTAAAACAACTCAATAACCTGTTATAATCCTTCAAACTTCCATTTGAAATACTGAATTCAAATCAGCCTTCTTTCCCTAAATAAAATCTTCTTAATTTCAAATCAGCCATATTTCATAAATTAAAACCTTTCTAAATAGCTCCCCCTTGATTCTTCTTCTTACATTATGAATAAGAGCTCCTCTAGGCCCCACAAAGGAAGCCGAACTTTCCCCTCATACTACCCCTGATTCCGCCCAACCACATGGCTTGTTCAGCCTGGGTTGGGCCGACCGGCTGGGTTGGTCTGGGCAGGACTAGTTGGGTTGATCTGGGCCCTGGCATATCAAAACTCTAATCCAAACATATTTGCTGGTTGATTTCTTCATATCTTACTACTGATTAATACTAAGATAAATTGTGAGTGAAGTAAATGATGAGATTGAGAGTTTAATTAAGAAACGAGCCTTAGCATCAACAAAGTCTACTAACAAGTTAGTTGATAATTATATAACTAATATATGAAATAAAACTAGGAATGAATAGACAACTAAAAGAAGAAACAAAAAAAGGTTGAAAAGAAAAAATAAAAATAATTAATATATGGAGTGCATAAGTAACGTAGTTAAGAAAATTGACAATAAAATAAACTTGGGGCTTCTTTTATTGCTTGTGGATAGAAAATGCTACTCATCTATTTTCTATGAAATGATGTTCAATTGTGAGAAAATTTTGAGAGTTTGTGAAGCACGAAGTCCGTTGCTTATTCTAGCTACACTTAACCAATTAATGACATAATCAGTTTATTATTTCTGCAAATAAGTTATTCCTTAACCTTTCAAGAAATTAATGATTGATGCCTTACTTGTGTTATTTAGGATGTTTAAAATGTCCTTTTTTTTTGGTACCCATGACACAAGGGAATAAAAATAATTGTGAAAGGGAAATAAGCTACAAATATGGATATGGACTAATGATAAAACCAGTTAGAAATGTGCCCAAATAGGACGAATGAAACTTGAAATTAAACCATACAATATTAATCCTATAGAAGATAGTGAATGGTAAAATAAGAGGATTTGCCTAATGCAGTGGGATGAGCTCCATGGCCAATGGTCTTTGATTTAATGATTTTGATCGCTCTTGAAGGAAGCATATTTGTTCCATTTGAGTTGGATCTTTGGTAAATAGGCGGATGAACAAATACAAAACATGAGGGCATAATGAAAAAAGATTACATCAGTTGTGATCTATTCAATGGAAAATAAACTCATGCATGCATACCATTGCATGCAACGCTAAATCACAAAAGTATATAAAACAATATGAGGCATACCCGATCTGCTGTTTGCTTTGCCAGTGTGTTGACATGATCTCCCCTATTACCAGACTTGGCAAGTTCAGCATAATTGTTGAGAGGGGAGAAATTAGAAAAACTTATAAAACTATAAATTTTTTACTTAAAATTTCGGTGACAAAAGACGAGCTGTAGAAGTGGTAAAACCTTTTCATATATTTTCTCAGTGTATGTGTTTTCTTAAAATCACATTAGCGAACAATAAACATTACATAAAGCTTCTAGAGAAAAACTGTTTAAGCATGGAAAAAAAAAATTGCCAGGATAACATTTTCATGAACTGCTATGGATCTTAACAGCAGAAAAGATAATCCAGACAAAACCGTAGTGCCCACATTAGTCACCATTACCAGATGCAGACTTTTTGTTGGGAAAAAGTTCCCCTCCTCAACTTGACTATTAATTTTCAAAATCCTATGTGCATGACTCCAAGTGACGCATTCGGATAACAAAGCCCCAGAATGAAACCCAAATAAATAACCAGCAAAATCCTAATTTATTGATCATGCTGCCAGTCATTAAAATCAGCACACCTACCCTAAGAAGATGTTAACTCTTTACGAGTTTCTAAAAGTGCTAATTAAAAAGGAGTGATTGGAAGATAGTGCATTGGATACCATCTTTTTTCAAGCTATTTTAAAAACTGATGTAGAGGCATTAGAACGCCATCGATGTAAGCCAGCTTGCATGTTTTCACAAAGTTTAATTAATTTGGCAACCTGCACAGACAAGCAGGAAAAAGTTTACGAAAATAATATCTGTCTCTCACAACCTCCTTCTCCATCTGGTCTATGATAAATCAGGATTTACGGAAATAGCTGGTCTGCTATAAGCTCTTAAATTGTATTTAACACACTAATAATACATTGAAAATAGATACAAATGATTGGTAGAGGTGACAGAAGACTAAAAATTGATAACTTAGCTGCAGGTTTATTAAATGTACAAAAAGGATTTGTGAAGTATGAAAGCTAAGATATTATGGTGACAGAAGGCATAAGCCGTGAATTAAACCTGGCATTCCATCTCCTTCCACTCGTAATTCAGCTAAAACCAATTATTGTTGGCTAGTCTGAAAAATGTATTATACAAAAAAATAATCAGGTCCAGGCATATGGAAGCATGATTCGATTCTAGAGTAAAGTAATAATAGCTATATGTCACATTTAATATTGAAATATCCTAACAAGATGACATAGGATAAACCTAAAAGCATATGTGTGATAAGAGAAGCCTCCAGCATTTTTCTGCACCTTTCTCAAAGATTCAACTTTAATATGCCAAGCAGCAAAAAGATGATGAGCTCGAAGAGAAAGGAAAAAGGAAATGCCTGACTTCCCTTAATTTCACTTTGTTTCTATAATTGCGGCAGAATTTCAATTTCATGGAAATCATAATGTTAGCATCAGGATTTTTATCAATTCTACTATAGCTGATAAATTCAAGGTTTATAATAAGATATTTAAAGACAAAAAAAAATTTGTGGGCTCCAAAAAATCAACAGCTTCACGCATGCCCCAATCTCTCCGCATTGGGAAGAGCTTTAATGGATGTGCCAAGTCAATTAGGGATTATGCTCTCATTTCATGGGACTTTTATAATCTGAATTTTAAGAGTTTTTAGGTTGCAAAAAACTTCCTTATAGTATTAATTACCCTCTCTCAATAATCTAGAGAAAACACATTGTTAATTAAAGTTAGTCATTAAGATAAACACTAAATATTACGAGCAATATAGTAACAAAAAAATTACTATTGGAATATAGAATTTCTCCACCCATGCACTTAAAAAGACGGTGATTGGGAGTAATGATGGACAAACTTTGATCAAGATTTCATGATTCATCGCTTACCGATAATAACTATGGTCCTTAGTCTACTTAATAAGAGGAGATAGTCGATCCAACATGACCAAAGAATCCTTATCGTTTAAGCGTACCTTGTAAACTTAGAATGAGTGTTTGTCTAACATGAAAAATTTAAATCAATCTTAACTAATAGAAGGTTTTATGCCCCATCACGTATATTCTATGTTTCATTACTCAAAAATCTTTAGCCATCAAGGAACTTGCGGCCTCTAGCCATGACTTTAATTTAATAGTATTTTTCCACGACAAAACCACCCATTCAGAGGGTCCCGATCATAACCATTTACATGCTATGTCATTTGATGACACAACCATCAGTTAGAGAGCACATCACGTCCTTAATTAACGGGAGATTATTTAAAATGAATCTTAACAATACGCTTAATAAGATATTTACTCTTTGTAAGTTAAGATTATTCTCAAATTTATCACCCTCGACAAACGGTTGCAGAAAATAAAATAATTTTTGCTTTAAACTTTAAGGGAATAGATTTTACAAGAAATATTTTGAATTTTGATAAAAGTTAAAATTTAAAATTTTATTGGAATTTAAGTCCCGAGTTATTAACTTTGGAATTTGGCAGCATTTTGAAAATCATGCATGTAATCTCCTCCGATTAACATTTTCTGTCGATACGATCATCATCAGGGTAACATTAAAATCATTTAAAAATATTTCTATTGGCGATGAAAAAAAAAATCATTTTTAAAAAGTGACATTTCTGCTTGATATTCACTTTCAATATGACCATCTTTGAGATGACATTGAAGTCACTTAAAAATAATTGTATTTGCAATCTGAAAAATAGATTTTGAGAATTGATCCATTCGGTTAAGATTTACTTTAAACACCATCATCATCGGAGAGTTTAAATATTTTCACTCTGATATTTTCGACTTCATCAACTCTGTTAGCAGGCTGAGGATAGCAATCTCAAAGCTCGAGTTTAGGAGTTAAGTGTATTTGGTTGAAGCACATACGAGAACTTTAAGTTCAATTTAAAAAAGCAATGCAGTTCAACTTGTTTTTCACCCGGCGTAGTATTCTCAAACTTTTTATTAAAGTGACTACCACGTTTGTCGAGCACATAAGGGGGTTCTTAATTATTTTCGATGAATTTACAATATTCACATGCACTTCGTTGCATTTGCACAGTGCATTCACATGTTTTCAATATATTTGCATGTTTTTCGATATGCTCATGTGATGTACTTTCACCTTTTTTTTTGCATTTGTATGGCGTATTTGTCCACTTTCATGTATTTGAGTGCTTTTTTTATGTACTCACGTGAGACACTTCCATACTTTTTATGCATTTTCCTAGCACATTTGCATATTTTTTCCATATACATTATTTTTTATTATTATTATTATTTCAAGATAATAGTATGTTTTTCGACGTAATTACACGCTTGTCGAGACACTTGCATGCTTTTTGATATAATGAAATATTTCTCAAGGCGACAACATGCTTTCCGAGATAGTTGATCGTCATTGAGCCGTGTCTTTTACATAGCCTCATCATCAAAAAAATATCTTCTAATTAGCTATACAGTTTCGTCACTCTATAGCAAACTTAATTTTGTTCATACAACTGAAGATTGCATTCTGCATCTTGCTCTCTAGAGATGTTATTTGCACATATATCATAATTGAAGTTGTGCTGCTATGCACTTGAAGTTAGCTAATGCCAATTAAGAACTAAAAACATAATGTGAAGGACAAAAATTAACCAACAAAAATTTTGATTACCTCTCGGAGAGCCTTTCATGGTCCAAAGTTGCATTATTAATGTCTGGTATTTTTCCATTAATTCGAGGAGTAAGCTGTAATGTTGCAATCTCTATGTATGAGTATTCAAAACAAGAGAAGTGTAGATTAGTGCTAATAGAGCATCAACATTCATAAGTAACAGCAGACAACAGTGTTGAATCACCATAATGGACTAAAGTAGTAAAGACAGAAGAAAACCCCATAAACAGTACAAAGGAGATGCTTATTTGCAAATGCTTATATTTCCTGAAATGTTTATCTGGCATGTCTACACAAATATTATAGTTAATAGGAAATCATGACAAAAGAATGAGACTTCAAAATTATATCATCGTAATTACAATAAAAAAAATCAAGCTTAAAGATAAAGCCCTAAAGCTATCTCAACCACCACTTATCTTTAATATCGGTGGGTTTAATATGACAGAATTGCTAAAGTCGCTTACCAATAAAATTAATCTATTGATCAAAATAAATGTTTTGCTTATATGCATCCTTATGTATTATCCAACTCCCCAACCATATAAATTGAAACATAATGTTTCCATACCACCTAAATTGGATTATTTATTCTGCCCGGACGTCGAACACCGTCCGGAGACCAACCAGAATGCGCCACGTCGCCCCTTGCCACGTCGCCCCTTGCTCCGTACCACGGCTCGGTACTACTGATGTGGCGCATTCTGGTTGGTCTCTAGACAGCGTACTGCATCCAGTCTCTGAACAAAATAATTTCTCCCTAAATTGACATTAAAAAGGGTGATTTATCATTTATTTTTTGCAACAACTAGTAACAAAATAATGAAATATAATTGGCTTTCCAATTTAACTAGATAAAGTATGTCCCTTAAACTAAAGGTTCGGAAGAAATAAAAAAACAACTTAAAGGATGCATATGAAGACAAATATCCCATGATTGCAATGGAAATAAAGAAACAAATACAACTAAAAAGTAAAGTAAAATGGATCTTAAAGAAGAAGCCTAATTGAAATAAAAAAATAAGAACAAAAGAAATCTTTGCCATTATCAAATTCAAAATGACATAACTGAAGCAATGTTATTATAAAGATACGCAGCAATAAGAATTTAAGTGTTGTTTATATGGAGGTTTGGTTAATACAAGCAGAGAATCCTACTTTGATGGAATTCAAGTGAGATAAACGCTTCCCAAGGCTTCTATTGACTTTGTGATTTTCATCCGATAAGATTTGGGCAATTGTCATCTCATGCTCACGGTCCTGACTTGAGCTGGAGCTTTCACGAGCATATTCTTGTCGTTCAGACATGCTATCTCAGTGAAGCATTGGTAATTACCAAATTTTCTTTACCGGGCGAAGAGAGGACGCAATTCTCGCTATTTGTAAAACTAGATAAAGATAAAAGAATGCATGAGTCAGAAAGAAAAATAATGTGAAGGGACATATGATATAAGGGAAGCAATCCAGACATTCAAAAATAAATAAATAAATCAACATATTTCCTGAATTACATGGTTCATGATTACAAAACTTCCAGTAGACTTTATTGCTTTCAAGCCAGTTATATTACCCAGAAAATCAGAACCAAGCCAGTCAAGGTTAAAAGGAAATCAGTAAATGGCATGGGAAAGGGGGCAAAAAAGGATCTGATGGTTCAAATGTTGAATCCACCACAGAAACTATCACCCCAATCCTACTAAAGAAACAACGAATCAATCATAAAAAAACATAGCCAAATCAATTACAGCCTATAGGAAAAAAAAATCATCACAGAAACTACACCAGTTGGATTGAACTTGATTATTTATAGAAAAATTAAACAAGCAAAACAGATCGACAATATTTCAGGAGTAATGGAACTCAGGGGTGGAACCAGGCTTAGTTCTCAGGGGGCAAGTGTCAAATTTATAAAAAAAATAAAAATATATATAAGGGTGCAAAAATAATTTATTTTGCACATAATCGCTTTTCACAAACTTATTTGTTAGTTTAGAAAAGTTCAACACAATTGGATGAAAATAACAAGAGGTTAAGAGGCTTTTCGATGGCAAATTGCGTGAAAAAAATGTCAGCTTGGGGCAACAAATAAAATTCAGGGGAGCAGATTACAAATAATCCTTACTAAACTACGAGTTTTAATTTTTTTAGGGGGGGAAACAACACTACACAATTTTGCCGCTGATGGAACTGAATTTACACATAATCAACATTAATAAAAACAGAAATAATATACAACATGGAAGCATCTTCAATAATTACTGATGGAAATTATATAAACATAAAATGAACAAGTTTGAAAAAACTTAAAGAAAACACATTGCAGACCTCCTTCAGAATTATGCACTAAAACTAACAGCGCTTCCATAACTAAAATAAATAAACAAGAAAACCTACAACAGCCAAGCACATAGAACCAGATGAAAGCTAACAGCACATCCAGATTTATTCCATGTTAAAAAAAATAACACTAGTGATAACAAATTGAGCAATAAATAGCTTTCAACTGGGCCTTAAATACTTCCTAGTAAATCAAGAATCAGCCTACTACTAGAATTTATCAAAATTTGGGGGAAAAACAGGCACCAATAGCTTCTGCACTCCAGAAGAAAACTATTCAAGCCTTAATTAAATCCTTGCTCCTAAATGTAAGTAAAACTAATATGCCCTACAATAGCAAAACCCATTCTTAATCAGAATTAGAAAGCAAGTTCTGCAACTAACTCAGAAAACTTTTCCGCATAATAAGCCAATAAAACTTCAAATCCAGATGAAAAAACCCAATTCCTCCAATAACACGGGAATCGAGAAGAATTGCGAGATGGAAATCATAAGAGCGGAAGCAACACGAACCGTTTGGAAGGAAACCCAGCTTTTTGGGAGGCCTCAAGCCAAGCATACCTGGTTTTCTTTATCAACAAAACAAACAAGAACTTAACAGGTAGGGAAGCAAAGCCTCAACGGTCGCGGGTTATTTCAGAATCTGTTACCCATATGATACCTGCTTGAAACCTGATCGTTTTTAAACATCCCTAAAGCCGAAATAATAATAATAATATAAAAATATTTTTGAAATGGGTTTTTAAGATGAAATAATCAAAATATTATATATATTGTTAATTTTTATTTAAGAAGTTTTTGTAATGGCCAACTTTAATGAAATGAAAATGAAGCTTCAAAATAACTCTATATTTTATTTTGGGCTTTATAATTTATTATCTAATTTGTATTTATATGTTTATATTTAAAAATAATTTACATAATTCCCTATGTGCTTGAATGCTTTGGAAATAATGCTTTGATTTTGTCGGGCTGACTTAATAATTTATAGATGAAAAATAAATATTAAAAAAAAATTATTTTGATTTTTTTTTTAGAACTATGAAAGCATTTGAAGTTAAAAATTAATATTTTTCTAAACTACATTCAATCATTATAAATTCATTAATTTTTTAAGCATATTTTCTAACCTTATTAAAATTCCAAATTTTGGAGATTTTATGCATGCTTGTATTTTTGCTTATGTGATTATTTTATAAAAAATAAAGAATTACATTATTTCAATTTTCCAGGTAAATAAAATAAAATAAAAACTATGCTCTTACTGTATGGCAGCTTGTGCTTGGATGGACAGTCCATTTGGCAGCTCATAGGGGAATTAGTTGATAAAGATTACAAAAAATAAAAGTTTTTTGTCATATTGGTTTTATTAATGTAATTTTTTAGATATTTTATGCATTCTATAACAGCCCATGACCCAAATTTAAATTCATTTAATTTAATAGCTTATAATGACATATAATATTGATATATTATCAAAAATTTATCTTGATCAAGCACAAATCTCGAGACCAAAGCGCATTGCAAACTTTCAAAATTAAATTTGGGGCCATATAAACTCTAATTTTAGCAAACTTATAGTCAAACTAAACTTCTCGAAAAGATGAACCCAACAACGTCAAACTCGACTCAATCCAAGCCCAAATTGGTCCAATTTGAAGACCCGAAATACATTTTGAAGGTTCAAACTATAAATTGAATGACCAAACAATTTCCAAATATTACATGCTTATAATTGAATCGAGCATCTCAACGAGACGAAACCAATGAGCCCAAGATCATTGAATTACTTAATAAATGGTTCATTATCAAGGGAATCGATATCAACCGTCCATTCAAACCACTCTCAATGTGCCTTTGATCTTCTCCTTATTTACTAGTCATGTCACTCTTATAAAACTATAAATAGACATCTAATTCTTCATTGAAGGAGAAGAGAGGACCAGGGGAGGAAGCAGGGGAGCAAGAAAGATAAAGAATAGATGAGAACAAGAGAAATTTGATTTCTCTGTTGCCACCAAGCTCCTCCTCGGCTGCCGCCCGACAACTTACCATCATCGAACTTGTGATGGACTTCTGCCTGGCCACGAACTATTGTTGAACTTACATCGAGCCACCACCTAACATCGGATTTACACTCAGTCATCGACTGTCGTTAGTCCTTCTAACCTCCATCTCTAGATAACGGTCTTTCTGACCACTGTCACATGCCGACTATGGCCCTTCTGACCTCCATCGCCAGTCGACTACAATATTTTTGACATCTGTCACCAGACAACTATCTTTCTGACCACTATCGCCTAAATATTACAATCCTTCCAACCTCTATCACTAGACAATGGTCTTTCTAACCATTGTCGCCCACCAACTATATATAGTCCTTCCAACCTCCGTCACCCAACGGTTGTCTTTCTGACCACTATCACTCGCCAACTACGATCCTTCTGAACTCCATCGCCAGCTAACTACAGTCATTGCAACCTCCATCGTAATACAACAATCTTCTGACCACTATCACCCACTGACTATGGCCCTTCCGACCTCAGTCACTAGATAATGGTCTTTCTAACAACTGTTGTCTGCCGACTATGATCCTTCTAACCTTCGTCGGTACTGACTACGGTCCTTCTGGCATCTGTCACCAGACAACAGTTTTTCTAACCACTATTGTTCATCGACTATGATCCTTTGGACATTCGTCGCCAGACAACTATCTTTTTTACCACCATCGCTTGTAGGCTACGGTCTTTCTGACAACTGTTTATCGCCGATTACAATCCTTCTAACCTCTTTCCCCCATCGATTACGAACCTTCTGACCACCGTCGTTAGAAAACGATCTTTCTAACTATTGTAACTTGCCGACTACGATTCTTTCGACCTCCGTCGTTAGACAACAATCTTTCTAACAACTATCGTTCGCTGACCACAGTTCTTCTGGCCTCTGTCGCCAGACAATGATCTTTCTAACCAGTATTGCACGCCTACTACGATCCTTCTGGCATTCGTCACCGGCCAACTATGGTCCTTCTGACCTCTGTAGCCAGACAACATTCTTTATTGTCGCTCGCCGACTACGGTCCTTCCAACCTCCATCACAAGACATCATTCTTTCTGACTACTGTCACCCACCATCTACAATCCTTCTAACATCATCACCATGTGATAGTCTTTCTAATCATTGTCACCTGCCAACTACAGCGACCTTCGTCACCAATCAATAGACATTCTGACCATTATCGCCCGCCAACTACGATCCTTCTAATGTATGTTGCCCACTAACTACAGTCCTTCCAACCACCTTTCACCCAACTATGGTTCTTTTGACCTCCATCGCCGACAATAGTCTTTCTTACCACAAGCCTATCGACTATGATCCTTCCGACCTCTGTCACTCGCTGACTACAGTCCTTCCGATCATTGTCAATTGACTAGGGTCTTTCTGACCTATATCGTCCACCGACTATGATCCTGCCGACTAAACAAACATGTCAATACTAATTCTTCTAATCCCACCATGTAATGCACTCTATATGATGTATATTTTTTTACATCAAACTAAGGTCTTCCCCCAATGAAGGGCCTCATTTGTAATTGACTGCAAACACTGGTTGATTCATTCAAATTAGGCCATGCCTTGTGGTTTTTTTCTCATTTTCAGGGGTTTTCACGTAAAAACTTTAGTGTCTCTTATGAACGCTACACCCTCTCTTTTTTTTTTTATTGTGTACTGGATCTTCATAGAAAACTAAGACGTTAAACTTTATATTTTTCTATTGTCGTGAATATTCGAGGACCCAACAAATATAATTATGAGTTAGCAAATAATATTTACTTTTTGTGATATGCTAAAATGGCATATACTTTTGGGAATAACAATGTTCAATTACTTAAAAGGCAATTATTTTATTAATAGCTAATTATATATTATATCAACTTCAAATTCAAATTTAAATTTAATAAAATTACAATTACAATTACAATTTACTTGGCCAACATTCAGTCACTTTGACTCAATCCAATGGCCTCCATAATACAAATAATAAGTTAAAAATTGTTGTATTATTTTTGTGATCTTCTGCCATGTAAAGATATTGACTAGTATTAATATGTTATTTTGATTATTAGATTAATTTCTAATTTGGATGGGGTCAAATTATAAAAAGGAGCATGCATGTGTATGAACCAAATAAGCGGAAGAAGCAGAAAGATCTTAAATTTAAAATTTTAAACTGTCTTAATTATTTAGACCGAATTAATATGAATTTTTTGAAGAATAGCTTCACATATTATTTTGAGTAGTTGTATTTTTTTTTTAACTAAACTTAATTTAAGGTACTATATCATGATTTTTAGCAGAAAGTTAAGATCTGACAAATAGAAATTTTAATTTAAAAAAAAAAGATTAATTTTTTAGGGTTATTAATTGTTATGAAAGTAATTTATATATTAAATATTAAATTTTTTTATAAAAGATAAATTAGTTATTAATTGTTATGAAAGTAAATGTAATTTAGTTAGTAACTGTAATTTAGTGATTATGTTATGAATATTAATTATAAATTTAAGTTATTGTAATTTTTATATAGTTATTTAGTTCTGAATATTTATAAATGTAATTTAGTTATTATTATTTTAAATGTTTTTGCGTAAAGAGGAAATAAAAGTTATATTTGAAATTGAATAAAAAGAAAGATTATGAAAGATTTATGCTTTATGGTATGCATGCATAAATATTAGTCTAAACTCAAAGAGAATTATGCTAATGAGATTAGCACCAAATATGTAGAGAGCTAGAATTTTTTTTTTTTTTTAAAGATTTTTGAAAATATTTTGATCATTTGAACCCTTTTAATCATTTATTTTATTAATAAGAGGAGAGTTTTTGCTATAAAATTTAGGCTTCGTTCTTAATGCTTTATAAAGCAGCTTTTGAGTACAAAATTTTTTGTTAAAAAATTTTTTATATTAAAAAATTATTTTAAAAAATATTATGAATATCACCCAAACGAAGCCCTGAGACTAATAATGATTGAGACATTAGAAGAATATATCTTATATAAGTCTATAATGTGACAATGTGTCCTAAGTATCTAAACAAACGATTTTGTAATGGTATAGGTGCTAGCAGAATTAGAATAGTCAAATTGGATGCCTACACTTTTTTCCTTTATTGGGCTAACTTAAGGCTTGAGCCACTCAGATGAATTCTTACTTAGCTCCATTGTTTTAGCTAATAAAATTATGAGAAGCAAAATATAACTATAGTTTAGTTGATCAACATTGAATTGAAATTTTGAGAGAATTTTGTATGTGTTTATATGCCTAATACCATAAATCTATATTATCTATTTTATAATATATTAATATCTCAATACATAAAACAATATATCAAAAAAATATATTCTCTTTAAAAAATAAATATTAATGATATTTTTATGTCATTTAAAAATTAAGATGTATATAAATAAATATAAAAATATTTAGTTATATGTTCACTTAAAAGCTCAAATGTATCGTTCTATACATTGAAGAGCCAACAATTGGATATCCACCATAATGGAATAATGCATAAAATTGTATTATGAAACAGCAGATTGGGTCCTCTCAACAACACTAGATAAAAGCAAACAAAGAAAACAAGCAAGAACTGATTTCACGAGAAATTATTATGTGCGGACATCGGATAATTCGAAGGTCAATCAGAATGCGCCACATGACATGGTACCCAGTAGTACCCAGCACTGATACCGACTAAAAAAATGACGTGGTGCATTCTGATTGGCCTCCAAACGGCATCCAATATCCGCACAGAATAATTTATCGAATCTCAGGGAGACCGCAGGCTGAGGAGTTCGATGTCGAAGATAAGTGTGCCAAGCGTGGAACCTTCCCCATTGGCAATTCTGGTTGGATTGAAGATTGTTGTGAACAACCTCTGCCGATCAAAAAACTGTACAAAAAGAGAGAAACTTGGAGAATTTAGTTATCTAACTACTTCAAATAAATTACAACAAAACACCACTTGTTTGCATCAAAGCATAAATCAGTAGTCTATCATAATGACATGAGTCGCAACTTAGGTTTTGTTTAGGACAACTTCTTTGCATTTTTCTAAAATACTTTTTTAGTATAAAAATTTTTTGAATTAAAAAATTTTGTACTAAAAAACATTTTTATAAAGTAGCAAAAAAACTGTCTCAAACGAAACCTTAATGGCATCATATAGCATGATATGCTGGTATGTGAACAGAAAACATTATAGATCCCACCTAATGTCCTAAAAATTTGAAAAGAAATGACCAAGTAAAGGAACACCAAGGCTTACATTTGGAGGAATAGGTTCCTGTGATGTGTTCTGATATCCCTGTGATGGTGGAATGACAACACGACGAAGGCCTCCTACTTTCATTGTCTTTATAGCTGCTTCAATACCTGAGATAACCTGGAAATTGCCGTAAAGGTTTTGCAAATAGGAAGTTAGATCTTAGGGAAGTATTGAAGCAAAGCCATGCCATCTGATCCTGTACAAAGGTGATTTTCAACCAGTAACAAATCATAATCAACAGCCATTTTCCAACTATTTCAGATCAGTTTTATGAATTATGACTTTTCATTCATTTTTATTGTGTTGTATGAAGGTTTTGTTTGGGTTAAAAAATATGCTTTAAGAAGCAGTGAGAAAGCCATCTCAAAAAACTGAAGTGTCAACTCAATTGTGTATAAATAGTATGTGCAACTTGTTTTTAATGAGAGTGAAGTTTTTTAGAAACCAAGTGTAGGAGTTTAGCTCCACCTAGCATTATCATGAGGACAATGAAAAGAGCGCAAGAAATGGCCATGGTCTTACCTTTCCAGATCCAACAACGAATACAAAGGGAATGGGATCACCCGTTTCATCTTTGTGATCGTAGGTGGAATCAAATCGCCAACTTGCTTTCTGCTAGCCTTCCAAGTAGTGTATGCAACCTCAACAGCCAATATAAGAAAAGCAAAAGTCATTCTTGCTAATGATAGAGACTTCAAAGATATTGCCTACTTTAGAACAAGGCATTCTTAGTAATGATAGAAGGAGAAAGTTTGAGTCAATTTGAGATAAATGTAAAAAATTATTGTTGAGGTATTAACCATTAAAAAATATACTATAAATACTCAGCTATGTCTGTGTGCAAAATGAGAAGCACGGTGAAGACTGAGAAGTTATAAAACATTCTTCTTAAAAGCATTGACTCAACCAAGCCACTTTGTAAAAGCTTAG